CTGATCGCCAAAGAATTGATGCTTTTGAATTATGGCGCTGGAGGAGACTCTTGAGAGTCCCATGCACTGCAAGAAGATCAAACGCATCCATTCTTAAGGAAATCAGCCCTGAGTGCTCACTGGAAGGACAGATCGTGAAGCTGAGGCTCCAGTACTTTGGCCACCTCATGAGAAGAGAAGACTCCCTGGAAAAGACCCTGATGCTGGGAAAGATGGAGGGCACAAGGAGAAGGGGGCGACAGAGGACGAGATGGTTGGACAGTGTTTTCGAGGTTACCAGCATGAGTCTGACCAAACTGCGGGAAGTAGTGGAGGACAGAGGTGCCTGGCGTGCTCTGGTCCATGGGGTCACGAAGAGTCGGACACGACTAAACGACTAAACAACAACAACAAAGTGTCTTACTTTACTAAGAACTGTCTGTTCAAAGGCTGTCCAGTTCAAGTCTTTCCTGGCTTGATAAATAGTTTTTTTTATCACAAGTGTCCACTTGTTATGGTTTTAGTATTGTTTCAAAAGTAAGAGCTGTTCGACAGTGGAATTTGCTGCCAAGGAGTGTGGTGGAGTCTCCTTCTTTGGAGGTCTTTAAGCAGAGGCTTGACAACCATATGTCAGGAGTGCTCTGATGGTGTTTCCTGCTTGGCAGGGGGTTGGACTCGATGGCCCTTGTGGTCTCTTCCAACTCTAGGATTCTATGATTCAAAAGTGTCTGTGTTTTTAACTGTTTTCAATTATATATAAATCTAATTGAGATGGTGTCTTAGAAGGTGATCAATAAATTAATGACACGGATGATAATGATGAGGATAATAATAATAATAATAATAATAATAATAATAATAATAATACTTTCCATTTTTTATTATATCACTGCAGTTATGAGGCAAAGGCTTTTCAGCTAGCGATCCACATTGTGGAAACCCTTTCTCAGGGACACTTGACACATCTGCTCTGTACTAGTTTTTAAGAGGCTATTTTGCACCAGTGAGCAAAACTTAGTTTTATTAGATTGCACTGAGATCTTTCTGACATGTGCGCTCTCTCTCTCTCTCTCTCTCTCTTGTTGTCCAACATTTTGCTGCCTCAGGTCCTAAGAGTCCCCTTTCTTTTCAGCCTCCCTCATTTCCCTTCTGATTGGCCCCATCACCTGCTCCTAAGAGCTATATTGCTTCTGTTCCCATTGTCATAGGGCCCATCCACACTTCTTCTTGTACTGCCACTTTTCCCTGGGAAAACCCCACTGTTTACCACTGTATTGGGATGAATGCCAATCCAGTTTCTTCCAATTCATCAGGGTACTTTCTCGGGGAAAGTAGAGGGGCAAATGGTAAACCACTCAAACTCATGACAAGTGGAAGTGTGGATGAGCCCATAGTTGGCCATGGAACACTAGGAGCAAATGAGGGTTGATATGACTAGATAGAGGTTGTTGCTGCCATCCCTCTGTCTCGAGAGACAATGGACTGTGCCTCCAGGGGTGAAGTCACACCACTCTGTGATCTCCCCGATGTGCAAGTCTGGGCTGTGTGGACGGAGATTCTGGGCTGACCAAACAGGAAGACACCCTTTCTGGCCTCTCTGATGTGGTCCAAAGGAAAGCAGAATGTTTGGCACCAATGTTTGCCACAGTTGCTGGAAAGGGGCGCACATGGCGCCATCCAGCCATCTTAGGGATGCCACTCTGGATTTGTGGAGGGTTTACTCCTGAGCCTTTTCTTCTCCTGAAGATACCCTGCAAGGCAGCAGAGGTTAAGGAGCAGAGTTCTCCTTCTCCTAGATGGGCTCCCTTCCCAGATGGACGAGCCCCACTTGTCCCTCACTTCCTGGGGAGGGCGGGATACAAATAAAAGTTGTTTTATTATTATTATTATTATTATTATTATTATTATTATTATTATTATTTACAGCACATGCAGAAACAACCTTCTTGACTGCTGGACCCACTATTGGTCTCCTCTGCTCAATATGCCAGCACCTGTCTTCACATTCAGGGAAGTCTTTAACTCACCAAGAGTTTGAAACCCATCGGCTTCCCTCACCTGGTTTAGCCGGCCAGTCAAAGACATTCCCTGGGGAGTGGCTGCTGTCACCTGCTGACAGCTTCCTGGAGCCGCAGGTGAGAGCTGGGAGCAGGGTGAGGACAAACTACCCCAGAAGGAGCATGACATGTCCCCCACCAGAGGTACTACCCCTCCCCCAACACACCATACACCCCTATTGACTTGAGTAGACTTGGATCATTCAAGGCATTTAATACGAAGGTGCTGGGCAGGAGCTCAAGACTCCCTTGGCAACCACCTGTGCATCCCAAGGGAAGGTTAAAGCAATGGGTAGCATAGTTTTAAACCACTCTAACATAGAGGAAAGAAGCCCAGGAAGCCACTTCATGCTGCAGTTGCAAGAGTTTTGCACCAGAGGGCGCTGGAGAATAAGGCCCACGGGGGTCTCTCGGTCAAGGCTGTTGGTTTTTCTGGAATAAGACATAAAAGGAAATTCTGCCCGAGGCGGGAGACCTATTTCCATCTCACATATAATCATACTGTTAGGGGTTATGTTGCTAAATTTGCTGCCTTGGGGCAGATGAGAGGAGAATGCTTCAATCTCTGTGTTTTACATATATTCTGAAGAACACTTGTGGCATGTGCTTGTTCCAGAGGGAAGGATGCCACCCATTCAAGAAGGATTTAATAACAGGAGATTCATCTAGAAACTCAACCTGCATTTTGTGGAGCTCAGGCAGGGAAAGGGGAAAGGAACACAGCACATTAAAAAAACTATATATAATGTAGCACTAGGAAACCCTTCTGTTTTCAAATCCCTTTAGTGAGATATAAATGGATAAAACATTCCATATTTGATGGGCTTCCAGCTAATAGTACTTGACTGCAGGAAGTTAAAGGGAAAGGGGAAAGCATGTTTCCCCAACTCAGGAGATGTGTTTTGTCAAGATTTTACATAATTAACAGATTTCAGCGGAGAAGGAAGGGAATTGGGTGGGCAGTTCCTGTAAAAATGAGGAATGAATGGGCCTTGGCAAAAGTGGCTGCAGACCCTCCCTCCCCCAGGGAGACCTCACCTGCTGGGATTTTGTGGGAACAAGGTAGAAAATGGGCCATATTCTTCAGTCTGCAGCCATCCTAAAGTAGGATATTCTAGACCAAGGGTGCCTAACCTGTGGTCTGTGGTCTGCATAAAGCCCCATCAATGGTTCATTAGTGGCCCCGGGCAAGACCCACCAGAAGTGTCTGAAGGCCATTCACACATAGGAACCTGCCTTATACTGAGTCAGACCACTGGCCCATCTAGCTCGGTACTGTCTGCACTGACTGGCAGTGACTCTCCAGGGTTTCAGATAAAGGTCTATTCCAGCCAGCCCAGGGATGTCAAGGATTTAAGCTGAGAGCTCCTGCATGCAAAGCAGATGCACCACGACATCAAGGAGTATAGGAAGCCGCCTTCTACTGAATCCAACCACCAAGCTAAGCCTTGTCTAAGCACTGACTGGCAACTCTCCAGGGCTTGAGGCTGGGTCTCTCCCAGCCCCACCTGGAGCTGATGATTCATTTACATTTATTATCTACTAATAATAAGGAGCCTGGGCTGGTGAACAACAAGTGGTAAGGTCATAAAAGCATCTTGAAAACAATTGCTGTACATGTGCAGAATGAGAAAGAGGAAGGTCTTGTATGCAATGAAAAGACAACAAAGATGGCACTTTTTGGATATTCAAGGGGAGGGCATCCCAAAGGGCAGGTGTCACAACACTAAATGCCTGATTTCTACATTGTGTGGAACAGACCTCCTAATAAGATGGCACCTGCAGGAGGCCTGAACCTTCTGCATGCAGAGCAGATGGTTTACCACTAAGCTACAGCAGCCCTTTCCCAACCATTAGGAACATAGATACATACCTTCCAAGTGTCCCAGAATTATGAAAGCCTTCCCAGCTTCTGATTTGATCCCAGAATGTCCCTATTTTGCCAAGCTCAGGGAGGAGGTTGAACTGGTGCTTGTCCTGAGCAACAGCAGTGGCGGCAGCAGCTGCGGCTGCAGTGGAGACTCTCCATGGCCTCCTCCCTTGGGCACCTTGTGGCAGATGCTGGAGAGCAGGCGAGGAGGAGGAGAGGCTGCTTTTGCTGCTGACGCCCAGTCTCGCATGAGGCGCCAGCCCTGAGTTGCAGACAGAAGGCAGGGCTGCCCTGGGCGGGGAAAATGGGGCAGCAGAGTGCAGTCTTGATTTTCTTTATTTAAAAAATGCTTTGTGTGTCTGCATCTATTTCTGCCCCTTTATAAGATTAATTTAGGAGTGCTTTTTTATTTTTGTAAATATACCAAAGAATCAAATCAAATCAAGATTAAGGGTTTTTTCTCAGGATGGTGAAGGAATGTGTGATGTATCCCTTTGGACTAGTGGTGGCAACATTTGCCCTTCTTCTGATAGGAAATGCTTTGCAGGGGACAATGACAAAAAATTGGGGCCAAGGAGGGTCAGTTGCGGCCAGGGGGGAGTGAGAAATGCCCCTATTTTCATCTGATGAATGTTGGAGGGTATGTAGATAGGAAGCTGCCTTGTACTGAATCAGAGCCTAGTGGCACCGCCTGGCTTTCCAGGTTTCAGACAGACTTCTCTCCCAGCCCCCTCTGTGCTTTTCCACTGAGCCACAACTCTTCCTCAATATAAGAAGCACATAACTGGAGGCAAACATCACTCACTCCTATGAGGCAGCAGACCTCATAGATCTCACATCAGATCCCCAGGAAAAGAGAGAGAGAGAGAGAGAGAGAGAGAGGCAGACAGACAGACAGACAGACAGACAGACAGACAGATGCTGCACCCTAAGATGCCTTGAGCCCCTGGGGTAGGGCATTCAACTAGTGTGATGGAAATCACTGGAATCGCATGGAGCCCTCCCAATGGCTTGCTACATGGACGCTTGGAGGACTGGGGAGAGCACACAGGGGGTTCCCACGTTGATGCTTTTAGAAAACCAAAGGCTCTTACCTCTTAACTCGCCTAGATCCAGCGTCTTCCCTAGTTGCTCTAGTAAATCTGCCCTGGCCGCATTCTTTTTGTGCTTCTTCCCGTCATAGTGTTGCTGTGCCATCATTGGGTTATTAAACCAAGCTGTGCAAAGCTGGCAGTACCTGTCAGAGTCTCTTCTCTGATGGGGCGAAGACACCACAGGAGAACTATCCAGGTGTGACTGCTTTAGGGAACTCAGGTTGGTCTCTGCAAGAGAACAAAAGCAGGTCAGGTGAGCTGAATAAGAAATAGTTTTATTACATAATTATGCCCAACAGGCATTCTCACCTTTAGCTACAACAACAACAATTTATTTATACTCCAACAATCTAGCTGGGTTTCCCCAGCCACTCTTTCTCACTCCACTTTCTCACTCCACTTCCAGATCCACCTCCAGCTTGGGCCTCACTTCCTAAACTAGGTAAGGGAGGTGCCCTTAATGGTTTATCTTTCACATTTATCCTCATAGTGGCCAATGGCAACTATAATTGTGGGGTGCATGCAGCCATGTGGTGAGCGCTCATCATCTGTGGCATCTTGCCACTAGCAGAGGAAGAGCCTCTGTGGTCAGACAGGGCTGGCAGGGCCTGCCATTGGACAAAGTGAGGGAACTGCTTCAGGCAGCAGATACTGAAGCCATTCTTCTCTGTTGGAGGACAGAGCTGGGGAAGAATTGCAGCACAGGGGTGGAGAATTTGCTTTGCAGGCAGAAGGTCCAGGTTCAATTGCTGGTGCCTCCAAGAACGGCTGGGAAAAACTGCTCCTTGAAGCCCTGAAGAGACACTGCCAGTCAGAATAGATAATGCAAAGCTAGAAGGACCAGTGATCAGATTTGGCATAAGGCTACTTCTGCACTATACATTTGAAGCAGTATCATGCCACTTTAAACAATCCCGGCTCCCCGCAAGGACTGCTGGGCACTTTGCAGTTTGTTAAGGGGACGTTAGGAAACCCCCATTCCCCTCACAGAGCTTCAATTCTCAAAGTGGCTTAATAGCCTCTTCCTCTTCCAAGGGAACTCTAGGAATTGTAGTTGTGAGATGAATAATGGGGTGGCCTCCTAGCAATTCTCAGCACCCTCAAAGACTACAGTTCCCAGGTTCTTTGAGGGGAAATCCATGGCAATTGATATGACAACTGCTTTAAATATACACTGCACAGTCGGTTGTTTGTTCCTCTGCCCCCAAAACAGCCTGTTACTGGTGTAATGGAGGACACTATCCCAACCCCGAGTTTGAATTAAGGTTCAATGCCCACGCCAGTTGAGTGGCATATACATTGAGAAATAAATAAGTGAATGAATGAAGAAATACCTTCATGCTAGTGGTGGGTGGGGCTAAGGCCAAAAGTGGAGGGGGCAACAAATGTAAATGTTGCCTTCGTGCAGTCAGCTAGCTTTTACACCTACTCCCCTCCTTCCATTCAGAGAAGCAGGCATTATCAGAGTGCAAAGACACATCACATTGAAAGAAGGTGCAAAGCAGACTTCTGGTCAGCTGTGGGAGCCATTACTGACGCGGATTTAGCCTCTACAGGGAAATCCGAGTTTAACAGGAGATTGGAGCTTCACAAAGGCGCTGTGAGCTCCAGAAAAACCCCAAAAGGGAGTTTTGGGTGCTGGGGACCCAGCGGCACCCCTGGTGTATCTCCCCCAGGGCTAAAGATCCTGTAAAAAGGCTCGGAAGCCCAGGGGGATGGAGGCGCGGGTGCATAGGGGGTTTAATCGCTACTCCTGTTAAGAGAAGCCTCAAGTTCCGATGGCAAAAGGCAGCTGATTTCCCAATATAAAAGGACAATCCAAAACAAAGTAAGAATAAATTTGGATTTATTTGGCGACAACCAGTTTTGAAGACAGAGGAAACGTTAAAAGGGGGAGTCCATCTCTCTGCTGGCATGAGAATGGAGCAGTAAGTTTTCTACTACAAAATCAAGACTACGTTGCTGCAAAAGGACAATAACTGATTTATTTGCTAAACGTCTCTGACCCATTGGGGAGGGGAGGAAATACCTGGGAAAGAGCTTTATGGACACAATATTTGCAACAGAGCAACAATCTTAAAATTGAATCGAGAAGCGGTTCGAGTGTGCTGCAAAAGGGGGAATCCCGCTGACTGAGTCACGCCAAAGATTTAAAGATGATAAAGGAAGAATTTTTGCAGTTGAAATGGCAATACAGGGCGAAAAACTAATTATAGTGGGAATCTATGCACCAAATGATAACAAAGCGAATTTCTATAAAGAGTTAGAGGACCAACTTTATGGACCAAAAAATAATATTAATTATTTAATGGGGTGGTTTCCCTAGAAATGGACAGAACAGAAAAGAAAAGGATAGCAAATCAAGGGAAGCTGCCTAAAACATTTTTCAGTTTGGTACAAAATAATGATTTGATAGACATTTGGAGATTAAAGCATCCATCAGAAAAACAATTCAGTCACTTTTCTGAACCAAACCAGAGTGCTGGAAGAATCGATTATATTTGGACTTATAGGGAATTGGCAACAAGAACAACAAAAACAGAAATCCTCCCCAAAACTATTTTGGACCATAATGCAATAAAAATGGAAATGAAAGGGAAAGAAGAGACTACATTTAGGTGGAGGATGAATGACGGATTACTGGATAATCAAGTAATATTGCAAAAGGCACAAAAAACATTGAAATATTATTTTGAGTTTAATATGAACAAAGGAGTGGACATTAATACTGTATGGGATGCATCAAAGGCGGTAATAAGAGGATTTTGGATACAGCAGAACGCAATTCAAAAAAGATCAAGAGAGAGTAAAAAGGAAAAGATATTAAAACAAATAATAAGTAATGAAAAAAATTAGCAAACAACCCCAAAGACAATCAAGCTAAAACTGATATAAAAAAGTTACAAACACAATTTTTGATATTAATAAATCAAGAAATAGAATGGAAAATTAAATTTTTAAAGCAAAGAAATTTTGAATCTGTGAATAAGATAGGAAAATTACTCGCCTGGCAACTTAGGAAGAGACAAAAACAGAATACGATAACTAAATTGACGGTTGAAGGGAAAACAGTTGAAAATCCAGATGAAATTAAGAAGAATTTTCAAGGATACTATAAACAATTATTTAGTAAAGGAAAGGAAGATGAAGGTAAAATAGAAGAATATTTGGAACAGAACAAATTGAAGAGAATATCAAGCTAGGAGAGAATTCAACTCAATAATAATATAACAATAGAATAAGTTAAAATGGCAATAAAACAAGCAGTAATTGGTAAGGCATCAGGCCCAGTCAGATTGACACCCAAATACTATAAGAAATGCTCGAAATTCTGGAGACCTGGAGAGAAGCCCATATCACCCTGCTTCCTAAACCTGACACAGACCTGACTCAAGTCAAAAATTATAGACCAATCTCTCTCCTAAATAATGACTATAAATTATTTGCTAGTATTCTAGCCAATCGGTATAAACAAATATTAGGAGAGAGAATTGGGAAAAACCAAGCCAGCTTTGTGCCTGGAAGATAATGAAAGATAATGTTAGAAACATTATTGATATAATTGAATTTTTGGATGGCAGAAGGGATATGTTCTTGGATGCCGAGAAGGCATTCGATAATGTGTCTTGGCACTTCATGAAAAAAAATCTAGAAATTATGAACATGGGAACGACATTTATAAATGGAATTAAATCTATTCAGAACAATATGCCAGATTAATAATCAATAACACACTTATGGAAAGAATTGAAATATCAAAAGGGGTGCCCGTTATTCCGTTATTATTTATAACAACATTAGAAATCCTGCTGGAAAAAATAGACAAAACAAAAGAAATAAAGAGCATTGGAATTGGCTATAGAGAGTACAAGTATAAAGCATTTGCAGATGATGTTGTGTTGACGTTGGAACAACCAACAACTAGTGCAGTTGAAGCAGTGAAAAGGATAGAAGAATATGGTCACCTAGCAGGATTCAAACTTAATAAGAGCAAAACGAAATAATTAGCAAAAAATATGGACAGTAAGGAAATAGAAGAGACACAAATGAAAACACGACTAATGACCGCAAGAAGGTAAAGTACCTGGGCATATGGCTTACAACAAAAAACATCAACCTCTACAAGGACAATTATGAAAAGGTATGGAACGAGATAAAGCAAGACCTAGAAATTTGGACTAGAATGAAATTATCGCTGATGGGCAGAATCGCAGCTATTAAAATGAACATGTTCCCAAAATTGTTATTTTTATTCCAGACCATCCCCATCGTATGCGGAACAAAGCAATTTGATATTTGGCGAAAACGAATCTCTAAATTTATCTGGCTGGGGAAGAAGCCTAGGATTAAATACAAAATTTTGACAGATGTAAAAGAGAGAGGTGGCTTCTCACAATGAGATTTAAAAATTTATTACGAGGCATCTTGCTTTAGTTGGTTGCATGAATAGATGACACTGGACAATGAGGAGGTATTAGATCTAGAAGGATTCGATAACAGGTTCGGATGGCACGTTTACATGTGGTATGAAAAGGTAAAAGTACATAAAGGGTTTCTGCACCATATCATCAGAAAATCCTTGTATGAGGTATGGAATAGGCATAAAAATCTGTTAGAACGCAAAACCCCTTGGTGGATTTCACCACTGGAGGCATTTGCAGTAAAAAAGAAGAATATGGGGAAGGAATGGGCGACATATAGAGATTTATTGGTGGAAGTCGATGGTAAATTAAAATTAAAATCATTTGAAGAGTTGAGGGAAGCTAACTGATTGGTTACAGTACCACCAATTGCAAGATGTCTTTAGGAAAGATTATAAAAGTAATGGATTTGGTAACACTAAATCAAAAATTGAGACAGAACTGTTGTGTAGTAAAAAGAAAATGGTGTCAAAAATGTACAAGGTACTATTAGAGTGGAACACAAAGGATGAGGAGGTAAAGAGTGTGATAAGATGGGCACAGGATTTGGGACATAATATTGATTTTGAGAGATGGGAAGTAATGTGGAATAAAACAATCAAATTTACTGCATGTGTGGCTCTCCAAGAGAACTTAATGAAGATGATGTATCGTTGGTACATTACCCCGAGTAAGCTTGCTAAAATGTATAGGTGTCAGGATAAATCATGCTGGAAATGTAGGGTGAAGGAAGGGAACTTCCTACATATGTGGTGGACCTGCACCAAAGTTAAGGTTTTCTGGGATACTGTTTACAATGAATTAAAAAGGATACTAAAATACAACTTTAGTAAAAAACAACAACCAGAGGCATTCTTACTGGGGCTAATTAGTGAAGAAATTAATAAAAAAGATGTAAATTTATTCATGTACACCACAACGGCAGCAAGAATCCTCCTGGCCCAAAGATGGAAACAGCAAGAACTCCCCACACTTGAGGACTGGCAGATAAAGATGGCAGAATTTGTGGAGTTGGCGAAGTTGACGGGGAAAATCAGGAATCGATCCGATGACAGATTTCAAAAGGACTGGAGCAAATTTATTTATTATTTGAAAGAAAATTGTATTTATCTGAAAACGTTTGTAGCTTTAACATGAAATGTTTAGTAATGTGAAATTAAGATGCTAATTTACAAATGAGAGAGTGATTTTTAAATGTTGATATAAAGTAAAGAAGTGATTATGGAAATGTGATAGATATGTTAATGTCATAGGGAAGTCAGAAAAGAGGGAGGGAAGGAGGTCAATGCTCTTTTTGAGCAAATAATATATGTTGTGAATATGTGTATTGAATTAAAATGAAGTACCTTGGGTTACATACGCTTCAGGTTACATACGCTTCAGGTTACAGACTCCGCTAACCCAGAAATAGTACCTCGGGTTAAGAACTTTGCTTCAGGATGAGAACAGAAATCATGCTCCACTGGCGCGGCAGCAGCAGCAGCAGGAGGCCCCATTAGTTAAAGTGGTGCTTCAGGTTAAGAACAGTTTCAGGTTAAGAACGGACCTCCGGAACGAATTAAGTACGTAACCAGAGGTACCACTGTATAATTTCAGAAAAATTTTCTGAAATTCACTAATTTCAGAAAAGGCAAGCTGGGCTGTCATGTGTGTCAGCTGGGACCTGCAGAACAATGGTCTTGCTTGGGTTCCTGTCAGCATGCGCGCTCCCACTTTACATGTGCGCCAAAAATGTTGCCCAAAAGGGGCAGGGTGGTACAGGAATCCCCACATACGCACAATCTGTAATGGAGCCCCAGTGCAAGCAGTTCCCACAGGGGAGCTGCAGAAAGAATGTGGTTGGTCAAGGGAGCCATGGACTCAAAAGGCATTCAAACATTCAGCAATAGGCTAAAAAGGTCTGTGTTTTAAACTCAACTTCTATTATATCTTATATCATTTCAGACCATTAGAGTCAAACAATGGTTGGAAGGCACCAGGTTCCCCACCCCTGCTATAAAATCATTTGTATCCATATTAATTTCTTCTTTCCAAAAGAAAAAATTTTTTTTAGGTTCTGAGTGTTTTGGATGGCAAGCTTCCCCTCTCCTCCAATTATTATTATTGTTCTAAAGCTGCAACCCATGAGGCAGTGAGGGTGAAAGGAAGGAACTGCCCTACTGGTGAGACCATTGCTTATTAGCAAATTGAGATCCTTGGAGCATTTGGCAGTGAAAGGATAGGGACATTTTCTTTTCCATGGCATCATTTGCTCTTCCCTTCCAATTACCCGACTTTATTCCTTAGTACTCAACTTCCCTACAAAGCAACGACCTTGTCTATTTGTCGCATAACTGTTGTTGCTATGGTAGATCTACAACGGAAGAGGAGAGGAAGGAGAAGGGAAATGCTAATTAATAAAATCATCCTACTATTTGTCTTGGATCTGAACTCTAGGTCACACATCAAGCCAAGAGCAATGCTTAAATAGCATTGTGGTAGAAACATGCTTCTGGGAGGAGCAGGGTTTAAATAACATGGTGAACCTCTTCCCCTCTGTCACACAGATAGCCTCCAGCATGTGGTGGCCTGGAGGATGGGATCTGCATGATTTCTCCCAGAGAGGGAGAGACTAATGTGAGCCAGGCTGCTGCACAATTGCGTGCACATGAATTTATTTGTTCCAATATGCTGCCTTTCGGAACATAAATCCTCACCATTAAATTCACCTGAAGCACCTCCTTGTCCATTAGGCACCACTCAGATTATTGCAATTCACCTGGAGAAGCCCTCCTAATGGACCGACACTTGTTGCTGTTATTAATTAATTAATTGAATTTGCCCTTCACCCGAGGATCACAGGGTGGCTCACAATATAAAAACATAAAAATGTGTGACAGTAACAAGCAAAAAGAATACCCCTCTCCCACATTATTATTATTATTATTATTATTATTATTATTATTTTCATTTTAGCAATTTTAGCCTGGTTGGCCCGCTCAACTGTGGCCGTGCCTCTGCCCTGCCTGGACGTGGGGTGGTGAGGTGTGGAAACCTCTGGCCTTTGCATGGCCAATTGTACAAAGTCACATCCTACTGAAATCAGACAATTCTGATTATTTTGCCACCTGCAGAAAACATTGTTGTTTCATCATTTTTAGAGAGTGAATTTGAATAACCTTCTGCATTTTATTATTCTATGGTATTTTAATGATTTTGTTATACCATCATAAATTATATTTGTCCTATGATTTGGTGCATTATAACAAAGGAACATAGGAAACTGCCTTATGCAGAGTCAGACCATTGGTCCATCCCGCTCAGAACTCTTTACACAAACTGGCAGCAACTCCATTGTGTTTCAAAACAGAATCCCTCTGAGCCCCACCTGGAAATGATGGGGATTGAACCTGGGACCTTCCCATGTGAAAAAGCCACTGAGCCGCGACTCTTCTTGAAATCTGCTGCCTCTGAACAGGGAGTTTCTATAAAACCCTTGTTACTAATGCCATCTGTCCCCCACTCTGGAGTTGTCTAAGGCTATGTACACACCATACATTTACAGTAATGCACACTTAAAGCACATGACTTTTCCCCAAGAATCATGGGAACTGTAGTTTATCCCCATAGACCTACAATTCTCAACACCCTTAAAAAAACTATAGCTCCCAAGATTCTTTGGGGGAGGTAATGGGATTTAAATGTGCACAGCCTAATCTTAATTCAAAACTGTTTCAACAAGTGGCCATTGCCGCATCCCTAGATTAATGATGCGTTCTGTGAAGAAGGAACCCTCTTTTGTCTGACTCTTGCAGGATTCCTCCACACTGGCATAGCGTGACTGGGGCTGTGGGGTGGTCGGCCCTGGGCACATTATTCTGAGGGTGCAAAAAGGCGTAACCATGTGCCTCCATGAACAGGCAACCTATGGAGAGGGAAGCTGCACCAGGGGAAGCCTGGCTGGCTGGTGTGGAGCCGTGCTCTCCTCTCTCTCTAGGAGAAGGAGGCACCATCCCAGCCCCAAAGGCCTGGCCCTGGCGCAGCTTGCTTCCTCGCAGGGCCAGCCATAAATAAATAAATAAATAAATAAATAAAAACATTGCCACATCTCTGTAAATCTGCAGAAGTTTATCACCAGATAGCATAAGAGAGAAGTTGTTTCACTATGTCTTGGGCCATAAAGCTAAAAGTTTTGCTCTTCTGGGCAGACAACTCTTTGTTTATCATCTTGCTTCTGCCCTGCAGGGAACTAGGCTAGCAGCCATTGCCAAAGCTGGTAGTAGGAACCTCAGAATTTATATTTGATGGAAGCGGAAGAATTATGTACTTCCCAGTGGCTGCGCTGTGCCTAAGCCAGGCATAGGTAGGTTTAGGTGGGTTCTGTTAGTATTTGTATTGTATTTGCATTGTTGCAAATTGTTTGCATTGTTGCATTGTTGTTGTTGTTGTTTTATTTGTACCACACCCATCTGACTGGGTTGCCCCAGCCACTCTGGGGGGCTTACAGAATATGCAAAAACATAACAAAACGTTAAACGTTAAAAACTTCGCTATATAGGGTTGAATTCAGATGTCTTCTAAAGGTTGTGTGGTTGTTTATCTCCTTGACCTCTGAAGGGAGGGTGTTCAACAGGGAGGGCGCCAAGAAGGCCCTCTGCCTGATTCCCTGTAGCTTCAATTCTCACTGCAGCTTCCCTGGGTGGCTGTGGGTTCTAGTACTGTGAGGGGGGGGGGAAGGTTTGCAAACAATCGCTGACATTTGACTTTTCTAAATGTGAGAGTTAAGAGGGTCCGCATTACTGAAGGCACAGTGGGAGCAAGCAAGTATGGCAAAATGCAAGAAACCAAACCATCTCCCTCCCGCTTTTAAAAAAGGAGGAAGAAAGACTAGATTCTCCACCAGCAGCAAAGAGCAAAATGATATTCTGTATGAGTGCTGGAAGGAGAAATAAACGTCTTTGTTGAGATGTCAATTAAAGGCAGTTCCAGAATTGGTTATACATGGCCAGAGGGTACAGCAACAGCTTCCATTTTACAAGTGTTCAGAAAATAGGAAAACAGAGACACTTTTTGAGTGGCATCTACAGGAATAAAGGGGGTCCTCGTGAGCCTGTGTGGATGGGTGTTTCTAAGATTGCCACAGCAAAGCGAGCAATGAATAGCTGCTTTCCTTCAACTTTCTTTCTGTGCTTCTTGTCTGCTGTCCCGAATCCACAAGGCCAGTCAAAGTGCCACCCTCACCTCTGCTTAACAGGAAACTGATGCATGGATCCAAAAAGACAGAGTATTCCACTCCTTAAAAAGAAAAGGGGGGAAAGGAAAGCCTTTATCGTCAGTGTATTTGGACCTACCTGTGGCCTTTAACGTTGGCTGCTCTCCTAGCAACAGTTTTAATCTTTTGGCATGAATTTTCCCTTGATAGTGTGACTCAGCCACAACGGCTGAAGTAAAGGACATGTTACAGAGCGTACAGCATTTGTTCTTATCCACCGAATCATTGTCGCTGCCCTGGAGGATGAGAAGGAAGAAGCAAGGATGTTATGCATGTCAAAGGTAGCAGTCGCAAGAGGGCCAGACTCAGATGCAAATTCTGGTACCACCAGATCTTGGGGCTGGATTTTGAGGACTCTGGGTCTGAGGGATCCATTTCAGACATCCGCATGAAATCATGAGGCATCTGAAAGGGGGAAGGAATAGGAGAAGTGGGCTGGGATGAAAGGCAAGTGGCTAATGTGGGACTCTCCAGATGTTGTTGGACTCCAGCTCCCATCAACATCTGGAAAGCACCAGGTTGGCTACCCCTGATATCAGGGGTATAGTGGGGGGGGGCAGGGGGGCTGTAGCCCAGGCCGTGTTTAGGGAAGTTTTTAATGTCTGGTTTTTATTGTATTTTAAATATTTTGTTGGCTGGAGAAACCCAGCCAGATGGGAGGGGTATAAATAATAAATTATTATTATTATTATTAGGCACAAGCCAGGTGCCCCCCACAGGGATCCCCATCCCACCCTGCCTGCTGCCTTGGAGCCTGGCTGAATAGCTGCCCGGCCAGCGTCAGGGGGGAGGATTGCCTGCCAAGGGCCACGTCAGCCAGCCAGGCTTCTCCCTGCACGGATGGGCAGTGACACAGCACAGCCCCACTTGGTTCTGGTGGGCAGGGCTGAACTGGCACATGCACCCCATGGTGTTGGTGGCAAGGGCTGGCCTGGCGTGGTGGGTTCTGTTGACCCTCCATGCCCTGCTTGGGGCATGTGCCCCAGGCAACAAAAAAGGATGCAACACTGCTGCCTGACATAAAGAACAATTACTTGTTGCATTCCTGCCAACATGGAAACTGTTGGACCTAGAAGCACGGCCTTGTCAGTGAAATTACCTAGCTAGGAAGGTAAGAAGACTAGCCCTGGCCTGGCTCCAAATAAGAATGTTTGTGGTCATTAAGGGAAGTGCATTCTTGATGAGAAATCGTTCTATAGTCCTAGCTAGCTAAGTAGCTGGAGAAACAAAGAAGCCATGCTTGCTCCTTTCTTCTCAGAAAATACATCCAAGAGTAGGAGGCAGTTGTCAAAAGGATATAAGCTAACACATTATCAGTCTAAATTTCAAAGGGCAGAGAGAGGTTGGCATACAAGTTAAAGGTACAGGGTTAGCCTGTGAATCTGGAGGCCCCTTACTCTGCTTAAGCACCACGCAGACCCTTTTCTGCACGCTGGATCACACCCAAACTTCCAACAGGAACAGCAGAGGAACTCTCTGCAAGCCACTTCAGCAGCTGAGGGTTCTCATAACAGCCCTTCATCTGCCTGCATCTAAATCAGGGCTGGCAACTCACTGGCTGAGGGGACAAATGCAGCCCTACAGGCCTCACTATGGTCTTCAGAAGGTTGCCCAAGAGGGAATGTGGCCCTTGGGTAAAAAAAAATCCCCCAACCACAATTTAAACAACCACAACAACAATTTTATTATTTGTACCCTGCCCATCTGGCTGGGTTTCCCCAGCCACTCTGGGCATCTTACAATAGATGCATCCTTGTCCTGCCCAAACGTTTGATTTCAAGAGGCTCAGGAGAGGAGACAATGCTTACAAGACTCTAGCGCACAAGTGTATACTTCACCAGCATTTTCAAAAAGCATCCTCAGAAGTCAAACAGGGACAGGTAGCAGAAAACCGGGTTAAGCTGGAATAGATGGACAGCTTTGACAGTGGACTCATTTCCTTTGAGCTGCCTCTTACACCCCCCAAAGCATCCCCCAGTGTGAGTAACACTGATGCTGCAAGCTTGTATCAAAACACATTATGCTAAGCTTGAGCCCAAATTTCTCAAGGACATTTTTCAAGGGGTGTGTGCCTGAGATGTTTTTATTTTTCTCACTGTGTCCCCCTCCCCAGAAAGAGAAGACCATGCTGCAAAATTACAGCTGAATATAGTCTACCATCTAATCATAGTGGATGCTGTTCCCTGACCCAAAGAAGCAACGGCACCCCATAATGACACACAACATCCAGAGCATTGTGATGGTGTCCTGACAGCTTCTGCCCTTTGCCCTGACATTCCACCAAAAACCTGAAACAAACCTTGGGAGCGGGGGAAAAGAAATTTCTGTTCCCCCTGGAGGAATTTAAGAAATTAGTCCTCCCAGTTCCTTTGTCCACACACAGTGGTGATGAATTTCGAGAGGCCATTTATACACAACAGCTACATGGGAGAAGCAGAAGCCAGGACAACAGCAGAGTAGGTAAACCTTTGCCATCTCTCCCTGCTCTGCATTTTGGTTGCTCTCTCAGCAAGGACAGCCGAGCTGCCAGACTGGAGTTCCCATATTTCAAACAGTGAAAATCCGGACAGAAAAGTTGTTGAGTTTTTAAGGGAAATCAACCAAAATGACACTGCTGGCATGGATTGCCATTTAAACAAAATTGCCATGTTGATGTGTCTTATTATTCTGGGCTAGGGAGGGTTGCAGGTCATTTCATTGCTAGGGTGGTACCAAAATTTTCTATTTCTCTTGGGTGGAGTATCATCATGTTTTAATATTTTATATTGACTGTTAATGTTTATATGAATTTCTCTTCTTTTCTGTGGCATAATGTTTTTATGTATATGTTTTCCAATGCAAGTCACTTGGAGACTTATAAGTAAAAAATAACTAATATGCTTAAATAGTAATAGTAATAATGCTTTAAATTGTGCTTTAAATTGAGCTTAAACAGATGACCAATGGAGATGGCATAAGATCAGAAACGACTGCTCCAATCTTTAGGCCCAGATAATAGTCTGTTGACAGGAGTACGCCAGCAGTAAATCGCACTGTACACATTGGAGTTAACCCTTTATTAACAAGAACAGGATCTGCACAGATTTGGCAGAGTGTCAGGCCTAATGAGTGGATGAACTCATCCCCACTAGGTCTTGCTGCATGGATCAGTTACCAAGACGAAAGGTCCTCACCTCCCCACAGCTGTCTTTGTCTCCCCCTCTTCTGGTTTTCCCCCAAGCAATCAAAGACTGTGCCTGTGTGCCTCCTGTCTTTGCTCCTTTTACTTCATGCCTCTTCTGGTTCTGGGAGACCAGCAGAGAGGGGAGATTGTTGCAGTAGCAGGAGGAGACACCTTCTCCAGCCTGACTCCTCTCTGCCTCTTGGCTTCCCTCCCCTCCCTCCCCTGCTTCAGCTTCACCCTCCGATTCTGGACTTCTCCCTGCCACACACTCCCAGCTCACTGAGCCCTGTTACCCCTTCAGTGACACCTCCTCTTTCCAGTCTTTTCCCTCTGACCACTCATCATTGTCCCACCACCGCTCCCCATGCTCTGAGCCTTCTTCCCTTGGCAGTTCCCCAGCTGGTTCCTCCCACCATTCCCCTGCATCCAACCAGTCCATGACATCTGGACTCCATATTTTGGATCACTTGATGGAATGCCTTTGAAAGACCGTGGATCCAGTCTACCATTATTTAATGGACATGTTTTGAGTGTGAGAGGTGAGCTGCATGCCATATTGAGGCCCTTTATGTTGGGCACCTCTTATTTAGTTATTCTGCCATCTTTCTCTCACTCCATAAACACAAGCACAGCTTCCATCAGTAACAGCCATGACAGTTAGACCACCTGCAAATAGAACCTGTCATAAATTAGAAGATGCTTCCAGCCACATTAAAAATTAAAACTCTAGGAGATTAGTTTGTTTTTAAAAAGATCACAAAAATTAGCAGCCTTCCAGCCAAAAATACATACCCATGCTGGGCTTCCACTGCATCCAAGCTCAGTGTTCTGGATGACAAATGCAGCAAGGAAGCCCGATTTGTATGTAATGAATATTCACCAAGCCCTATCAGATTTGTGAAATGGTAAGCCTGAACTTTAGGAACATAAGAGAAAGTGAAATGCTGTGATGTGTCCAAATTGGACAACAAACCTATAAACTAAGGGCATTTGCAGATGACGTAGTTCTTTTTGTGGTAAACCCTTTGGTTAATGTGATAAAGCTATTTGAAATGATAAAGCAATTTGGTGATTTAGCTGGTTTTTATACTAATAGGGATAAAACTAAAATGTTGGTGAAAACTATGGATCAGCATATGAGAAAAGTTCTGCAAGAGGACTTGGGGTAAAGGAGGAAAAAAAGGTGAAATATTTAGGTATATGTATAACAAATAAAAATGCAGTGTTATATTAAAATAATTATGCAAAAGTGTGGAACAGCATGAAATTAGATTTGCTAAGATGAGAAAGAAGGAAGTTTTCATTGTTGGGAAGAACATCGGCTATAAAAATGAATGCGCTCCCTAAGATGTCTTTCCTATTCCAGACAATACCAGTAATAAGTAATATGAACTGCTTCAAACAATGGCCAAAAGAACTATCTAAATTTATCTGGCAGGGGAAAAATCCAGGAATAAATTTAAAACTTTAACGTATGCTAAAGAAAAAGAAGGGTTTTCACTGCCAGACCTAAAATTATACTCTGAAGCAGCCCATTTGAGTTGGATGAGGGAATGGATGGTATTGAAAAACACGAGGTTACTTGATGTAGAAGGTTATGGGTGGCATGCATATTTATGGTAGGAGAAAGTCAAGATCCACAGAGAATTTTTAAATCATGTTATAAGAAGAAGTTTGTATAGCGTGTGGATCCAATATAAAAAATTTCTTGAAGGAAAACACCATTGCAGTTATTTCCAACAAAGGCATGTGCTCAAAATAAATTGACTATGGAAGCAGAATGGGGTACATAGAGAGAGAGGTTTTCTGGAGATGGTTGTGAATTGAAAACACAGGAAGAAATTCAGGAATGGGTGACGGGATGGCTTTAATACCACCAAGTAAACGAATTATTTAAGAAAGATAGGACATATGGTTTAATAGACCAAATATCTGAATTTGAATTAAGAGTGCCAGAAGGCAAAGAAAAACTGATTCTGAAAATGTATAAAACGTTATTAGAATGAGAAACAAAATATGAACTGATTAAGCCCACAATTATACATTGGGCTAAAGATCTGGGACATAATATTGATATGGTGGCATGGGAAAAGTTGTGGAAATTAGATATTGTCAGAGACTGCCTCCAGGTCCCAGCTCACAGAGGACCAACGCTAGCCAGTGGTAATATACAAAAGTCTTTATTTAAGTACACTATCCATTTTCAAACCCTAGCGTGCGTCTCTACGTCTAGACCAGTGTTTCCCAACCTTTTTTGGGCAAAGGCACACTTGTTTGATGAAAAAAATCTCGAGGCACACCACCATTACAGCCCCGTGGTGTCAGCGCGCAGCGTCACGCCGGGAGGGACGCACGAAAGAGTAACTTTCAATTTTTTCCCCTCCCCCTTGCCGGGGAACCTCCAAGCTTTGGGGGGGGAGGAGGCAGCAAAGCGAGGGACTGAGGGACCCTAACCCTAACCCTAGCCCTCACCGATCACCCGGGAAAGCATGCGAACGAGGAGCCCCCGTGTCCTGCTCCCGGCAGCGGACGGCACAAAGCGAGGAGGCCTGGACAAGGCAGCACGCTCCCCGCTCTCGCTGCATCGGGGCTTTTCTCCTCCAGGCCGCTTTCGAAGTCCCCTTCTCCGCTCCCAAGAGCCGGAGCCGCTGCTTCCAGGCCCTGTCCGAGCCCCGACTTGTAGCCTCACTTCGAGGAGCGCCTGTTGCTGGGGACGGGGCTGCATCCCCCTCAGCCGCCGCCTCGCTTCCTTCCAGGAGACCTGACGGCTCCCCCTCTCCCGCTCGCCCTCCTGCGCCCGCAGCAGACCGAGACCTCCCCGCCCCCGCCCGGCTCGGCCCTACCTGGGCGCCTCCAAGCCCGGCCGGCTCCGCGTCGCGCTCCACGCCGGGCAGCTGCAGCAGGGGCTGCGCGGGGGCGTGCGGCGGCCCGGCTGAGCGCGCCCCGGAGCCGCCGCGCCGTCGCTCGCGAGTCCCTCCGAGAGCCCGCGGGACTGACTCTGGAGTCGCGAGGCGGCGCGTCGCCCAGGGAAGGGGCGGCTTCCCACAAGTACGACGACCGAAAAGAGCCCAGCAGAGCGCGCGCCCCGGAGGACTTGGGGGGGTCTGTAGGGCATCAGTGGCCCCCAGAATTCTGCCCGCCCCTCGCCCCATTTGATCCAGATTTACCCTCTGGGGAGAGCGAGCCCCGGCCCAGCAGGGGGCGCCCTCGCTCCGTCCTCCGGGAAGCAAACGCCCTCGCCCGCCTCCCTCCAGGCAACATCTCGCGGCACACCAGGCAACATCTCGCGGCACACTAGTGTGCCACGGAACACCGGTTGGGAAACACTGGTCTAGACACTAGACCGGCGAAGCTCCGTCTGAATCTCCGCCCCCTGTACACCAGCTTAAGACTCTAGCCTTACTCCACCTCTTCCGTCTCTCCTTCCGCCTCTGGGTCCTACTACCCCCCGGGATCCCTTCCTTCCTGGACGCTTCGGACGCGGACCCCTCTGACTCTTCCCCCTCCCTTCGGCGGGCTTTAGGACCTGGCTCCCTATCCGGGCTGCTCACTGCGCCACTCTCTTGTAGGTTTGAACTTGGCGCGCGCGCCCTGTCTTTGACCTTCCTTTCGACCGTTTCTTCGCTCTCTGATGCAGGCGTGGCCAATCCTGACTCATGTCCTTCTGCTGACGGATAGCTGCCTGATGCCGATACCTGGGACTCCTCCCCCCTACTGCTCTTTGGTGGGGAAGCTGGTCCCGATTTCCAACTGCTGCTCTCTGAGTCCCCTCTGGCCCCTCCTTCCTGGGGTGTTCCCCTTGGCAACCCCCTTGCTCTGACCACGGGAGCCCCTTTCTGTGAATCCTCCGATTCGCTGGAGAGACTCAGAGACCTCGGACGGCTGTCATCGCTGACATCTCCCTCGGATTCCTCCCCCTCGGTCTCTATCTCCTCCCTTTCCTGTGCCTCTGCTCCTGAGCCCCTGACAGATATGAAATATACTGCCTGTATAATGTATAAGGAAAATGATTTGAAAATGATATACAGGTGGGTCCTTAATACCTAATAAACTGGCCAAGATGTGTAAGATTGTTTCAAGTAAATGCTGGAAATGCAAACAGTCTGAAGGGACATTTTTTTCATATGTGGTGGACTTGTAAAAAAGTGGCAGGCTTTTGGGAAATGATACATAATGAATTGAAGAAATGTTTAAAATAGACATTAGCAAAAAGCTAACTGATTATTTTGGGAATAATCAGTGCTTTTTTCTGGGGGGACACGGGGGGACGTGTACCCCTAAACATTTGGAGGAGCAG